TATGTTTCAGACACAAAAAGGCAGCAGGAGGTTCAAGAGGATTGAGAACAGAAACGGAGTTTTTGCACTGCTGGTGAGTTAAATCGGACACTTATCGCCAAATTCACACGAAACCCAAACAATAATTAGATCCTGAAATTGCATTAAATCTTTTATGCCAGACTATTGGTCGTGAATAAATACTGACAGACAACACAAGATCTGGGTCCAAAACTGTAGTTCGATTATATAGATTAACTGTATTAACTAACTTGGTAGTTGCAAATATGTAATGCTATCTGGCACTCTGATAAGCTGGTGTAATGTGCTAGGATATCTGCTATTTATTAGCTTACTTTAATAACATGCTTGTAAAGGACATAAGGGCTGACTTGAATTACTCTGCACTACTAATAAGCCTTCAATATTTGTGTAACTGCTATAGTAATAATACTTTCACCATAGAGGCTGAAGGTGAGCAGGGTTAAATGTTGATCAGCAGCAGGATCTGTGAGCCATATTAGAGATGAATTCAAAGTCAAACAATTTTATATTATTTTTTTCAGTTTTGAAGATGCATTTTGGTTTAAGTTACTTTCACTGTTTGTCATACAGCAGTTTAAATGTAAGCTCCATCAGTGTTATTTTATCGTTTACATGTCAGTCTGTATTTTCATCCATCATCCTTAAGGCCACACAAGCATCAGCCTCAGGTTCACCTTGTGCACATGAACACATCTGGGTCCTGTGTTTCCCCACAGACGGACGAGGAGAGGCAGCAGGCTCTGCAGGCCTACACTGCGCAGTCTTTCCTCGGCTCTCCGCAGCACAACACCCTCTCCAGTTCTGGATCAGGGGCCTCGGCACACGCCTTCCCATCCCCCACCAGTTCCTCAGAGCACAGGACCAATACGAAGAAGGGTCCACGAAAAAAACTAAATGAAAAGTACAGACTCAAGTACCTCAGACTGCGTAAAGCAGCCCGCGCCATGATATTTGTGAGTGAACTGTGGACCCATGGAAAGCTATGAGTGTTTTTTGTGTTGTCTTTAACAGCATGCTTAAGGCTTTTGGTATGATATTGTAAAGGTTGTTAGAACCTTTCAATCGTTAATAGTCTGCAGTTTCATTTTTTTATTTAGGTTATTCTCAGGATCAGTTTCATTGCTGTAATACAATTGTTTTCTACAGGAGAATGCAGCTCTCTGTGACGAAGTCGCCCATTTAGAAGAGAAGTTCCTAAGAGCTAAGGAGGAGCGGAGGTGAGCGGATATGTTTCTGCTATGCTTATGTTTTCCATGAAGTTTAAAAATGTGTGTCTTCACAGGGGGTCCGCGGGGTCTTCAAAAGTATTAAAAGTTGATAAATCAATTTAGCTAAAATTAAGGCTATTAAAAAAAGTATTAAACGGCATTTTCCAAGGTTTTACATTTTGTAGCTTGTTTTCAATAAGTATATAAATGGTCCAAAGAGGTTGTATTCTACAGTCTGCCTGAATGTAATCATTGCGTAGGTGTGTAGTGTGATTCTGTGTAGTTTATTTATGGCATCCCGTTGGGTTTGACGTCATCTGAACAGGACATCGCACGCTCACTGCTTGATAGCGCGCGAAGGTCCGTTTACGCCGCTTGTTAAACAACATCGTTATGGGGAAATGCAAGTTTGCGTCCAAATGGTTGGGAGATAAGGAGGAAGGACAATCAATACTGTATATAGTCAATGTGAGGTGAAGTGTGTCGCCAAGGTAACCGGTTAAAACTCTAAGTGGCGATGAGGTCTTAAAATGTATGGAAAGGGTCTTAAAAAAGGTCTTAAAGGTATTAAATTTGACTTCAGGATTCCTGCATATACCCTGCTTCAGCGAGGACTGTTTTTTCTTCTAATATTGAACATGATGAATGTGCTGTTGTGATTATTAGAAGTAGGACTTGAAGTTAAGTGTCATCAAGTCATCTCTTTTAACAAAAAACGTATGAATTTTCATTTCAAGGTTCTTACTGAAGTCATTGCTGCAGTACCAGTCTTTGACAGAAGGAGATATGCTACCAACACCTAGCTCTAGCGCTCATCCACCTGTTCCTCCTGCAGCTTCAACCTCAGGGGCTTCAGGCCTGTCTGGGGGGCATAGCCTGGCCTCAGTGGTGTCAACAGGGGAAGAGGGATCTCTTAAAAAACCCAAGAAGGAAAGGAAAGAGAGAGGCAAGGAAAATGGAAAAGAGGAATGTGAGTGCCATGCATATTGAGAATAGATGTCATTGAAATAGTCCACATTTATCTTTCAGACAGTTAGCCCATTATGTCATACGATCTATTTTTTTCTTCAGTTCCAAAGAAGATGACTAAGAAGAGAAAGCTAGCAGACGGGTCTCGCAAACTGGTGCAGCCCATCCATCTGGACTCATCTGGGCGTCCTGTCTTTCCCATCGTATTGGGAGGATTAACAGTCTACAGCCTGGGAGAGGTCCAAGCTTTATCTTTATCCTACCATTTTCTTTTTAAATACCTACTTTTTTTTGTTTTAAATTAAGTATTATAAGTTTTACATTTTCAAGTTACCCTCTCAACAGCCTCTTTAATTTGACACTACTCACCAAATACAAACATTTGACTAATTTCCAGATCATCACAGACAGAATGCTGTTCCATGATGAGTGTGCCATTTACCCGGTGGGCTTCTGCAGCACTCGAGTCTTTGCCAGCATGAAAAACCCCGACCAGCAGTGCCTCTACACCTGCCAAATCAAGGATAGTGGAGCAGGGCCACAGGTACACACTTTTTATTGAAGTCAGGTTTGCCAAGTGCAAACAAGAAAGGGAAAAGGAATAGTCATTATTTAAGAATTGAATTATTTAGATCCAAGTCTCCACAAGAAAGTTGCCACTTACTACCTTGTTGAGTTTCATTCAGTTTGAAATGGTGTGAATACATTTGTTTACTGACACATGCAATCTGATATTGTCTCCCATAGTTTGAGATTGTGCCTGAAGAAGATCCTCAGAATGCCATCGTGGCCACCTCGGCCCTCACATGCCACTCCAATTTACTGAAGGTCATCGCGTCGGTCAGGTACCAACATTTACCACAAAGACTTGGATTTATTGGCATAACTTTTTGAATGAAATCATAATCTGTCAACTTGGCCTTTTCTTAGTTCCAAGTCTGTGGTGCCCATCATGCCCTCAGGAGCTGATTTCTTCGGCTTCTCACACCCAACCATCCAGAATCTCATCCAGAGTTGTCCTGGAGCACGCAAATGTAGCAAGTAAATATGAAACACACCATGCAGAACATCATTTAAGAATATGAATAACAACATTGTAGGCTTCAGCTGTAAAGCAGTAGGCTTGTTGACCTTAGTTTTTCATCACTATAACAAAGACCTGGTGTAGAAGAAGTCAGTTTAAAGAAGTGTTCACAAACAAATACATTTCACATCCTATATTGATGATTTTTCTAGGTGACATGTAAACCTTGATATTATATATTTTAAAACTGTCCTAAGGATACATTAACAAGTGGTAAGTAACATTTTCAGGTCAGGGAAACACGCAGCCTTGGTTAATACATACTACATTAATATATTTTACACAAGTATGTACAAAAATACCTACTAAAAGTCCAAATGTCACCAAAAATATGTTTTTTTCTTATTTTATATTCTTTATTTAGCTACCGATGGATACGTTTTGAGGTGTGCCGCCCCGGTGATGGCCAGGTTCCTCACAGCCTCTCGGAGGACGATGCCTCAGTCAACTTCGAGGCCTACCAGAGACACCAGGGCTTTGAAGAGAGCATCAAGACGGAGCACATAACAGGTTTCCTAAATATCAGTTTTTTAAAGTGGCAATGTTTTTAGCTTGACTGTAGTTAAGATGACCTTGTGCTTTGTTATTTCTGTGTTACATTCATAACGCTCTTGATTATTGCGTGTGCTGTACAATCAGTACATCCTGAATATGAACTAGGCTTAACAGCTGGGTCAGTGGCTAGGAAGTCACACGTAAGAATCCCTTGGTGGGAAAACAAATACAAGTCTTATTTACAGCTGCTGTCAAAATGTATGAGCAATAAATGCTATGGTTATACTTTGTGTGTGAGTAACCCTCCTTTCCCCATCTAGTGCCCTTCCAGGCCTCTGATGTAAATAGCATAATACAAAAAAAAGTATACCTTTACAGAAGTTACAGCAAGGTTTTAAATAGAAGTATGGCCAAATGACGAATATTTCAAAGTACTTTTCTAATACCCTTGTATTTGTTTAATGCTTAATGATGATCTCTCTGCATTGATTGTGATGCTTGTACTTTAGATCCTTTTGTCTTTCCTCAGGACAGGCACCGCAGTCCCCTAGCTCCTCTCACCAGCACCACCTGACCTCCCCCACCATCAACATGAAGCCCTCTACCTCCTATTTCAGCTCCTGATCCTGGAGTGCAAGGTCGGTCATACATGGACGCAATCCTTGGAAAAAGTTGTTTTTATTTACAAAGCTAATATTGTTTTTTCCTCCCTTTTCCTTTATGGTTCAAACATGTAGGAAACCGAGGCATTCAGAAACTCAAGCCTTTGTTATTTATTGTTTTTCATCTTCAAGCTAGTTCCAGACAGCTGGGAACTTTACTGGGGATGTGTGCTAGCATAGTTGATGCTTATTTGTTATTTACTAAGTGTGTCATGTCATTTTTTTCAATAATTTCCAGAATGAACATTTAAGACAAGTTGTGTGCTTAAAGTGCTAATAGCCACATTAACTCACCATAGCTGTTATGACAATTTCATTTTTGTTTGTAAAGTTACATTCAAAATAAACCTATTTTTTTTTACTTATTGGGAAATCTGCTGAATAAAAAAAGTATACAATGTTTGGTAAATGGCATAAATATATAACTGTTGGTACCCGAAATTAAGTTGCAATTACAATTTTGTTTTCCAGTTAGTAGTTAGATTATTTTTCTACTGTCTCTGTTTTACTGTAATATAAAAACAATGGCTTTGTACACACACACACACACACACACAGTTGTTTATTTCACATTTATTTGTTCAAACATTTAGTCATAACGACTGATTTGTGTTGTACACTTCAGAGTTTTGTTCAAATAAAACCTTTGTCATTTTTTTCTACATACATCCAACAATTATTTTTTTTTACTTAACATTCAGTATTTAAATTTGAGACGGACTGATTAAAAAACACCTTTTAAAATAAAGTAAACATATTTCCCACCAGGCTGACAGGTACAACTGCCAACCAAGACGTGATATAGCAACAATAATCTTGTTGCATTATTCTCTTTTGATTGTTTGGACTCTTTCAGACAAACTGACCACATTTGTACAATAAATGAGGATGAGCTTTGAATCCAGATGCCATAAATTGAAGACAGTATTTTTCACTTAGTAGTTTGTAGGATCGGTCACTCCCCCCTCTAAGACTAATCAATTAACTTATTGAATACCAGAAGTAATTGTCTAGTCATAAACCATTAAAAATAGGAATATAAGACAAGTTGAGCTTTTCGCAGTAACAATCCACTATCGTGTCATATTATTTTCAGCTCCTTACTTTCACAGTCTCAATCGTCCTGTTTAAAGTCATTCATTTGCCTAATTCCACTACATTGAGAAATCAGCTTATGTTGACTTGAACAAAGGCAGACTGTTCATTATTTGGTCTTCTTACAGTTCATTGATTACTTTGGCTGGAGTGCGGTTGGCAATAAAAGGAGGAGCAGGTAAAATCTTACTGGCGCTGTAGATTGGACAGGCTTTAAAGTCACAGGGCCAGTTTCTCCATGCATACCGCAGAGCAGCTACTTGTTCAGTGGGAGAACACACGCTGGTAGATAACTGGACAGTGGTCAGACCCCACTGCATGATGGGAGCTGGAACCCAATGAGCCTTAGGATCCCATGGAGACTCACTCTCTGAGCAGCAGATCTTAATAGGAGAGAATTGTATTTATTTAGCAAGAAATTATCGGAGCAAACAAACTCTGTCTTATGGTAAAGCTAGGGCTGCTCGATTATGGCAAAAATCATAATCTGGATTATTTGGGTCAATAATTGATATCACGATTATTAAAAATGATTATCCATTTACTTTGAAAACTTCCATTTATTGAAAAAGATTTTTTAAATAAAATCATTTTATTTCGATTATGTTGTTTTCATAATCGTTGCAAGCCAAAATCGTAATTGCGATTAAAATACGATTAATTGAGCAGCCCTAGGTAAAGCTATTCTTTTTGTTAGCATATTTAATAAAGCCAGCAGGTAAATATGGGAAAGATGTCATACTGAATATGCCGCTGCCAGCCTTACCTCAAAGATGTTTTCAGAAGGAGTGACAGAGACTTTCTGGTCGTAGGTAATCTTGAGATACTTTGGAGTGGACAGGATTTGGCTGGGGAAAGGTCCACAAAAGGCCACGTCCTGCTCACCATACGCCACTGCCCTTGCTCCCAATGACAGTCTGAAGGCTACGTCCTGCTTATCTCGGGGATGGATCCTGAAACAAAACAAAATCACACTAGATTCAGGTCAAGACATAAAAACAGCAGATAGCTGTTTCTGTGTTTGTAATTTACTACAAACACAGTACTACTTCAGTACATAAGAAAGTCTGTTGTTGTGAGAATTATGCCTAGGATTCACTTTGTGGCAGCAAATCGTTTTTTGGATTCGTTTCTAGGTATCTTAAAATTGTCCTAGACTCGCTGGAAGGCAGATCAGAAACATATGGAAATGAATGATTTGAGCTCCATTCTCCAGTTCAAACAATTGCAACATCAGCATTTTTTTATTTTAGCATTTAAGTCTGATCTGATATGGTAGATTAAAAAAAACACTGCCCTTCGGTACCACTTCTCTCAAAACAAGAGTTGGGTTACATTGAATTGTGACATGTAAGAATTGACCAAATCTACTGAAAGAGTTGTTGTTTATGTGTTTCCATTAGCTAATCACCTATAAACATTATATGCCAATCACACAAAGGTATCACCAAATACTTGTAAAAAGCAAGGTAATTGTCCCTGGTGTTGTACAGGGTCATATGCTATGAGTTCATGTTGATACAATCCTTACGAGCCATAGGGAGATTTTTTATCCGGCAAATCCATAGCCACAGCCATGAAAGTTTTCTGCATCCGGGGATTTGGGACAAAGCCGGTATCTGCTGTCTGGTGCCAGCGGATATTCGGATAGGCGTCACTTTTGGATTTGTTTTCACAGGTACTCAGCTGGAAGTGCAAATAAATCATGGATTAGTGTTCCCCCTGAAACTATAAAACGCCAGGTTTTTTATTTAATTTAACAAAAGCAAAGGCAAATAAACAATGTTTCCCTCAGTATTCATTCAGCAGTAAAGTACTCCTGCGAGTCCATGAACATGACAAGTGTACTTCACTTGTATGGGCGCCGCTACGGATAGGTGTCACTAGTTGAGTTTTGTTTTAAGGTAGACAGCTGCAAGTACAAATAAATTATAGTTTGGATGTACAAAATAAAACAATTATACAAATTAATCCGGACAGAGAGCTGAGAATGAGGCTTGATTTTCAAAATAGAAGTCCAAAGAAGCAACGAAACAGCTAATGCTTTGAATACTTACTTAGCATTTCACATTAGTTTTCTGTGACCAAGTTAAACCACAGTCATAATTTAGTTTGAACTCAATTCTGTCATTCTCCGTTTTGGAAAAGGCAATAAAGTAAAAGGCTAATACACTTTAAAAGTGACTACTTTTATGTTTAAATAAGTGCAGGGCTATGGATTTATGTACATTTTTCAGTGGTTCCTGTGGATTTTGAAAAATGACTAATAAATATTTGGGGGGGAAAAAGCATCGATGGGACAATTTGCTGTAGTGTGATTTTGCTATTAAAACTAAAATCATTAATGTTACATACCTGGACAAATCCAAAAGGGAAATCGAGAGCCGTCTGCCCTCCTGAGCCCTGATGAAACGCCATCCTCCAGTCATCAATCATAGCAGGGAAGGAACAGTTGTACTTCTTTTGATGATAATTTGTGTTAGACTCACCTAAGAGCAACCAACACAAGGCTTATACAGTACATGCAGGACATACATGAAAATCAGAAACCTTTGCAGCAGCTGGTCTAACCTTGGTACCAGATGGCTCCTTTGATGGTCATGTTCAGCAGTGGGTGGATCATTGCATTCCACAACACTGAATTTACTTTGGGACTGAAATAATTTAAGGTGCAATAAAGAGTCAACCTTGTAGTTAGTTAATATACAACATTAAAGCACTACTTAATGTGTGTTTGGAAATCGATCGGTAAAACATAATATGATGATATAATACTGTATCTATATCTTTATTGAATCCCTGAAACGTACCCGTCACCAGGCTCCTGTAGTAGTCCACAGTGCTGTAGTGCTCTTGGAGAGCACCAGGGTTCGATTGGTGTGCCCCCCCAACAGGACTCCACCAGTCCTATGGGGTACTGCAGCTTATCATACAAATCACGACCAAAGAGCCAGCACACTGCAGAGAAACCAGACAGATCTGGAACAAATCATGCCTGTTAAGTAGTCAATCAGCAGAATGCAAAAAGGTGATAAAACGCACATAAACAAATACCAACATGGTTGATTACATCGCTGTGCTGCAACCAAACAAACACTAGCTTGGACTCATGAACATGTGACTGAGTATGCATGTTTCTATTTCAAAGCATTTAGGTTCAGTTGCAGTTAAGTAACCCACCTAAACCTTTAATCTGCAAACACAGATTTAAATCATTTTATGAATAAAATAAATATCTTAAACCCACATAATGGCGGCACAGACCAGGGAATTTGGACGTCAATCAAATCAGTTTGCTCAGTTTTGCTCTGGGCCAGGGTTGCCATAAAAGTCCTCACATGAGGATAATGTGCTGCACGCTTCAGCTCCTCTGATGCATTGAAGATCTATTGGAGAATAAATACAAAATGAATAAATATATACATATCAAACAGAGTCCCATACATCTGGAATGCTTCATGGCACGAATCTATTTGTGCAACCTTTTTTGTGTAGTTTAGGCTTTTCTGACTTGTACTGCACATTTTTGAGAGATGGTCAGATCAGAAAGACACACAGGTGTTCACCTGGTTCAGCCTACCTTAGAGACTTCAAACAACATGTTGCTCTGCCCTCCACACAGCCAAATGTCTCCAAACAGCACGTCTGTCAGAACAGCTGTGATGTTCTGCACGGCTGCTGTCACATTGTAGGGACCTCCAGCTTCAACAGGGTCTAGAGTGACCCGCCAGGTACCTGTAAAGACAGTCAGTGACACTTAGGGCTCTTCTAATTTCCCAATGTCGTGCATGCTGGGCTCCTCATTCCTCTGGCACTTGACCCGGAAATCTATCTCAGCAATCCATCTTGGATGAACCTCAATTTCTAAAATGCATCTCAAGGAGAGGGGAGTGAGGAGCTATGAGCAAGGATACACCAGTGAATAATCTAAAACCATGGTCTCTAAAAATGTAAATCAACTACATTTATAAAGTGCTTTTCCAGTCAGCATTAACACTCACTTACAGTATACTGAGGAAGAGGCTAAGATACAAGGTGCCACCTGCTCAGGGAGACTAACAATCACACACTGTTGGTGGAGCCAATCAGGAGCAAAGTCCCACGAACACTTTGGCATGTTGCCTAGAGAAGCTGGGGATCAAACCACATTATTTAAGATGACCAAAATGCACGTTCAAACTTTCTGAGCTTCAACGCTTGTTTAGCGCCTCACAAGGCACTGTTATCGTTAAATGAAGGCCAAGGGTTACATCCAAGTCAAATTTTACAATCGAGACATGATTTTAAAAGTGCCAATAGCTGAGACAGAGAGAGAGAGAGGGAAAGAAAGAGAGGGAGGGGGAACTGAAAGCTGTACAAACTGGTTCTCCTGTCATGCTTCCCTCAGCTGACTTTGCTTCAGCACCTTCAACACTACCCTTGATTCATCTATCTACTCACCATATTGATAGTTTCAAATAACCTTAGTCTAATATGTGTATTATTGTATTGTAAGTACATCCCTTACATGGACTCCCTCCTTGTCATGTAACCTGAGCCAGTTTTTGACAGAGACCAAATTATTATATGAAAGCTGTTACAACCTAACCTACAACCTAACTGTCTGAATAGTGGTTACAGCTCAGAGCATACTGTCTCTTTCACATCACTTCCCAACAGCAGGATCATTCAGTTAAGCCTGTTTGGTAGCCTTTGGTTGTCAGCATAAAAACATCAGATCTGAAATAAAATGGTTTTACTCACCGTTTGTCACTGTGGCCTGTGAGACGTTCTGTTGGTGTTGTCCTGACAAGGTGAATTTCACCTGTGCCCCCTCGGATCCATAGCCCCAAACTACAGCTCTCTCTGGAGACTTCTGCAGCACCATGTGGTCTTGATAGTAGGAGGCGAAGCGCAGGACCCCATCTACACACATAAACATTAATATGCGAGTGCAGAATAATTAAAATAACAATACATAAAGAAGGGATTTTGGAGATAGTGTAAGTAAGTGCAAATATGCCTTTTTGTTTCTGTTTGAAAATAATAACGCAGTAACATTTTGACACGGCCAGAAGTTGTATAGGCCTACAGGTTAATGCTGACCAAACGATACTCACCACAGTCCTGAATAGAAGCTGCAACCAGTATAACAACACCACAAAGTCTTATCGCCATGACAAGGTGATTTCCAGGTTAACCAAAAGCTGCAAAGTCACGCAGATTGAGTTTACGTGATGAACTATCACACGGTAAACTAACTCGTGATTTATCCAAAGGAGTTTAGCGAGTTGTTTCAGTATGCCTACATCCGTAAACAATATAGTGTAGCGCACTGCGGACCTTCAAAATAAAAGCACACAAACTCAAAAGTGCCAACATTTTAATCCTCTTTAAAAATATTGAAGGGAATTTTAAGTCTGTGTCACAACAATACGAACAAGCCTATGCCTAATGACTGCCTGCAGTTGTTGTGTAGCCTGCTATATTTGTAAAAGACCAAGCAGCCGTTGGCATAGGCGGCGCGTGAGGCTCAGGTTTGGGAAGGCTAAATAATTTGTTTTACCTGACGCTGCCCGCCTCCTGCGCGTCTATAGAAAAGAGATCAGCTCAGTGAAAGCACCGCCTGCTGACCAATCAGAGCTCAGTGTGCGGAGTTTAAATCTATCAAGTAATATCACAGGATAAAGGAAATACAGTTTACACTGCCGTATGCAGAGAAGACGCCGACGTGTCGCACTTTATCTTTATAATATCATAATATATCACATTTCCTTATCTGAGTCAGCTTCTCGAGCCGTATCTGGCCGTGCATCACCACATTATTTCACAAACAGTGACGTCACGAGCTACCCACAATGCAACGCGCGCCATATATCTATATAGAAATACGCCATGTTCCTGGAGGTGCTAATATCCTGGAGGTGCTAATATAAACAGCTAGGTAATGTTGCCAGGCAGAGCGCACTAGGTTTTTTTTCTGAATTAACGACCGAATAAATCGCTGCATGTCTTCGGATTACATCTCTGGACTTGAGGGGTGTGCTCTAGGTCGTTACCAGCGTAAACTAGAGCTGTGTGGGTTGTCCGATTGCCCTTACAGACTGCCTGCAGATGTATGGAAAAACGACTATCGAAAGTGGCCTTCGGTCGATTTTGGCAGCATCTACGTCTATCTTCTAGAAACACCAGGTGAATACCCCACTTGTCACAATAATATTATCATGCCAATGCATATATGTGATATTTTAGAGTTGACTAGATATTGATTAAGGCAATAGACTATGATATTCTGCTTGCACCTCGCGTGAAATGGTGGATACCGGAAATACGGTGTCGCCCTCGGCCCAAAACCCGTATGTGTGTGTGAAAGAATACTGTATTGTATGCAGAAGTATTATTTTAAGCAACACATTAAGTTGACTAAACACTCAACTCAAATGTAGGCCTAATTAAAGTCAGATCCACTCGTGTCTTAGATGGGGCAGTGATATCATAAAACTGTTGTACGCTTTCAAACACTCTATAGTTATTGTTTAACCAGTTGTTCTATATTCACCTTGCAGGTGTGTTGCAGGTGTGTGTGCACAGTGGCACATTGTTTAAGCAACTATGTGGCTTGTATCCTGGATTATATGTTTAAATCATGGATGTTTAAAGTTCATATTTGTCTAATATTAGTTTACTTTTCATTAATGAAGTATGACGCTGCGCTGTCCCTATTTGTGATTGGTTAAATGTTGCTAACCCCGCCCCTTTCACGTGAACGCGCTCTCAGCTGGAGAGAATCGGCTTGATTTACCGACTTGATAACCAGCGTCGTAGGACCGCTTAGCGAGATCTCGTTTGTTAGGGTTAGTTTAGATAACTCAAACATATCCAGGGTATGTTGAACTGGCTTCGTAGTACAGGGCACAGGTGGCTGCATAGCAGCGCTAATGTCAAAGACACAAACATTATACATTATATTTTTATTTTACCAGGATGCAGTGACACAAATATTTGGGAAGGCTTCTTTAGCCTACAGTACCCGCCGCCTTGGTCTGATTTAGGTTGATGAGTGAGATAATTACATGTAATCGCCAAAGATGATGCATGCTGCCTTCTAGTGGCCAACAGAAGAGTAGTCATCAGATGCCATAATATTACCCTTTGCCCAAACAATCAATTAAGAGACCACATCTTAAACAGTGGCGTTTTCTCCTGGAGGCCAAGGGAAGCCAGGCTTCCCCTGTTTTTTCGGATTGTAGTTATAATTTCAATAAATAAATAAAAACACTTAGTTTAGTTTCGGAAATTCTTTGTTGTGTGTTGCTGCCGGCCCGTCTCTCCCCCATTCTCATTGAGTATTTTACAAAGAGTGAAACAGCGCCCCTCTAGATTTTATGGTGAAACTGTAGATTGCACTCTCTGTTGCGAGAGGAGGCCAGCCGAAATTGCCGATTTGATTGGCCATGCCAAGGGAAGCCAGAGGCGGCTGGCTTCCCTTGCCTCACAATCCAATCAAATCGCATCAACTTAGTGTTGCAGTGACGCGTCCTAAAACCCGGAAGTAAGCTGTGCTCGGTTTCCCTCATGGATGTATAATAAGAACCTCGACAAAAAAGCAATGGGATTTCTCCATAGGATTTTGGAAAATAGCTCGAAATAAGGTCAGTGGAAAACAAACCTGTTAGATAAATGCACGTTTTGTTCAGTCGGATAATATCCACATGTCTACCCTACTTTTATAATTTTCGAATCATAAATCTATCGATTAGATTTATGATAGACATTTGAAACTACAAGAAGATAAGGAGGACTTTTACAAAAAAGTAATAGAGATTTTTGTCCAGAAGGATAGCATGGACTTCATCTTCAAGTCAAGGTAAGACCACCATTTTATTGAAAATGGGATCTTACTAAGAGAGAACAATTAAATATGTAAATGATAAAATTACACTTTTTGGGTATCCTTTTGTGGAACTGTCTGTTTAAAATTAATCGAAGCATCAGACAAAACAAGCTTTTGAAAATAATATTATATTTTTATTTAGGTCAAAATATAATATTTGTAAACCTGAAGAGTCAGTGCCAGTGCCTCACCAGCCATGAACCTCACTGCATGTCACTGCAGAAGCTTATATACAGACATCTAAGTCTTTTTTGGTCCCCACCACTTTTGTACATATAAAAACGCCACTGTGTGTACAGCGAGGAAAAAAGGAGCGAATCGGACGTAAAACGTTAAAGGTCTCCTGATTTAGTTTGTGAATGAATGCTTATTAGAGTTTTGGCTGGAGAGTGCGTGCGGACCTGTCGGTTAGATAACAGGCATGTGTATGTCCTGCATCTGTATGATACAAATGTGTGTAAAATGATACCGGGTGCTGTAATCACTCATCTGGTTACGTTATTACATTGACCACCACACCCCCGACCCAAAAGAAAGGACGTATTATTGGCTTCCCCTAATTTTTTCCCCACGCCACGCTACTGACCTTAAAGGCCCTGTCACACTGTCCCGAAATTGACACCCGATGGACACACGAATATGGAATTGTGAATTTCGCACGAAGATGGCCCCGAACCACACACGAAGGCAACATTTACATTACATTTAAGACATACAACTGCAATGAAAGTACCAAAAACAATTATGTTACAGTACTATGATACTGTACTGATATCTTCAGACTTTGTTCTTTACTTTATCCGTCGTTATATGTAGAAAATATTACGTTTTCTCCGTAATGTTGTTTCCATAATAACAACAACTTCCTGTCAACTGTCCTTCAAAATAATATATTATATCCTTTTTAGTTTCACAGAACACAAATTAGGTTATTTACATAATATATTTACATGATTTTGTTGTGCAATAAAACAACCCGATGGACACACGATAAAGGAAATGTTCAAATTCGGCTGTGATCGTAGCAACATCGGGCCATTCGTGAGGGCATCTTAAGCCATCGTATGACCGCCGGTGGAGTTTCTCAGGCTCCGGCAGCAACTTCGTGAGCGGTGGCAAAATCTTTGGCATGCCAAAAAATAGCCGAAGGACCTTGCGAAGGTTCATTTTCGTGTTGAATTCGTTTGTCAATTGTGCCCTTCGTAAGGCCACCGTGAGGGCATCTTGTTATCATCGGTGCCATCGGGCATTCGCCCCGATCAGAGTGAGGGTGAATGCACCGATGATAACACGAAGATGACACGATTTGACAAGATGCCCTCACGAGTGCCTTACGAAGTTGCCGCTCACGAAGTTGCTGCCGGAGCCTGAGAAACTCCACCGGCGGTCATACGATGGCTTAAGATGCCCTCACGAATGGCCCGATGTTGCTACGATCACAGCCGAATTTGAACATTTCCTTTATCGTGTGTCCATCGGGTGTCAATTTCGGGACAGTGTGACAGGACCTTAAAGGGCACCTATCATGCAAAATGCACTTTTTGATGTCTTTTATACATAAATATGTGTCCCCTGTGTGTCGGGGAACTCACAAAGTGTCAGAAAACAAAACCCTCTCTCTTTTCCTTCGTACCCAAATCTCTAAAAACGGGGGTACAAGGGAGCTGATCCAGATTTGCGTCCGATATGACGTAATATCGGAAATGCGGATCAACGGCACTATCAGAAATGTTGCTACCAGAAACAATGCCAGACTGTTTTGGAGGTAATATGGTCTTTGTTTACATTAGCAAGCATCGCTAACACTCAGAGCTAACCTGTACTGGAGAGAGAATGTGTAAAAAAAGCAGGAAATTGAAAAGGAACTTTTGAGTTCCATACTGTTTCAGAAATAATCCTTGATGTGGTTTGGAACATGATATGGCATTTAATCCCGGCAGCATTTAGCTGAGTATCTCGTAGAATTCTGAGCAGGTACAAGCTCCCCCTCCTCTTTTTTTTCAAGCTAAGGACCCCGAATCAGCAGTTCTCGAACAGGGCTGATAAAGAGGGATATGAGGCATGTCTAAAATGCATGATCTGTTTGGTATTTTGAGCAAAACCCATCATAGACATGTTTTTTATATATAATAGGAGACCTTTAAAGCAGGTCAGAGGAAAGAGATTGGGGATAAACCTCACAGTCCTCACTCTATGCAAATACGTTTGGACTTATTTTCTCATGACAGCTAATTATTACAGACAACACTCCTGGGGCATATTCAACACCAACTCCCTCCAGGTGCAGCCTCTCCCTCACGTTTATCAGGGCCTGCACAAAAGAGAAAAGCTGCTGCAGTTTCTCTTTTCTTCTCTGTTCCAGGATGTCGGCATGTGACCACTACTACTAGTTTACCAATTTAGTGTTAGTTTCTTTTGAATTGGCTAGTAAGCCCTCGT